TGACTTTATTAGTAAGAGAATCGTGCTGGTAAGAGATTGGGGCTGGTAAGAGAAAGGAGCTGGTAAGAGAATTGGTCTGGTAAAAGAATGGGTCTGGTAAGAGATTGGAGCTGGTAAGAGAAATTGTCTGGTAAGAGAACTGATCTGGTAAGAGAATTGGTCAGGTAAGAGCATTGGTCTGGGAAGAGATTTGGTGTGGTATGAGAATGGGGCTGGTAAGAGTATTAAGGAGTCTATGGAGGGTAATTTAGAAGTCCATAACGGGTTTTTCATAAATCCATAAAGTCTTCTTTACATGTTAGCCAAGTATCAGGAAATTTGTTTCAAAGAAATTTCGTCAACGGAAGTTTGGTCGAACGGAAATTTGATCGAATTTTATTTTCAGTTCACACGATCAACTTAAGTGTCAAATATCTTTTTGAACGCATAATTTTGTTTTACTACATACTATAGTGCCTTCAAAAGGAAATGCGATCAAATTTCCAATCGACCAAACTTCCGTCGATCAATTTTCCGTAGAAGAAATTTCTTTCAAACAAATTTCCGGTAACCGTCAGCTAAGCTTACTTTGTTGAGCATTAGAACACATCATTTCTTTAATGCCGCCATGAAATCAGATATGCTCAGAAATAACTTCCTTATACCCTACGTCTAACTTACATGTGCTGTCGTTTATTTCACCACTTAACCGCTTTTATGAATGCATTCTATAAAAATAATTCAATTCATTTTTTGATTACATTGTATATGTCTCAGTTTATCAATGCCTTGTTGACGCGCGGCTACTCCCCTGATGACAGGGACATCATGGGACAAATTCCTCTGCATATTGCGGCCAGGTAGTAACAGTTAATTATTTGAATCCCCTCATCTAAGTAAGCATATTTTACGAGTTATCTTATTATTGCAAGTCATGTGACATAACTGAAACGATACATTTTTAAAATTTATGGAAACTATTACTGTTAACTCAAATGTTCGCCATCAGTTTCAGTAGCAATGAAACAGTCAGGAGGCTAGCGCAAGTGACGCACAATGTAGACACACTCAACAAGGAGAATAAAACAGCTTTATTTTTGGCATGCGAAGCAGGGAACAGAGATGCCCTGTCTGGGTTGATTGACCACGGGGCGAACGTCAGAGCCACGTGAGTGACACCTAGTGTGACCCTTTAATAACAGTTACTTATGTTGTGGTGACTCCAACCAAATCATTATTTCGTTGCTACTTCATAAATATGTCATTATTTCCGATGGTCATAGACGACCTCTGTGTAAGGATCATTCGACCCACAAAGGGGTTGCGACCCATAGTTTGAGAACCGCAGTTCTAGAGTCAGACTACCTCCAAAACGACCAACACCTGTTATCTTCTCTATATAATAATAGCTTTTTAAACAATTATTTTGTTATAAAAATTGTGTCCTTCTTTTTAAATGTAATGGTCCCACTATCTCGCTAAAAACTTGCGTGATTGAATTCCGGTATTTTTAAATGATATCCATTGAATTTGGATGATATGATCTTTGTAGGCATTTACACCGTGTCTTGATCCTTTTTCCAAGTTGTGGGAGAGTACCCAACCGTCTTCTGATACACAGAGTTGTTTTCCTTACCATACATTCCAAACGATGGTTACGTCATTTCCAGCCATTCACTTTTGATTTGCTGTTAGAAAACATTAACAATTAAACGTGTTGATTTGATTGGTCTGTTTGTGAACAGCGACAAGCAGACGAGAACCACTCTCATAGCTGCAGCTGCTGGTGGCTTCACGGACATTGTGTTGGATCTGATAGCACTGATGGTGCCAGTTAACTTTAGGGACATGGAAAGGGTAAGTAGATCATTTGGATCTGATAGCACTGAGGGTGCCGGTCAAGTTTAGGGACATGGACAGGGTAAGTAGAACATTTAGATCTGATAGCACTGAGGGTGCCGGTCAAGTTTAGGGACATGGACAGGGTAAGTAGAACATTTAGATCTGATAGCACTGAGGGTGCCGGTCACGTTTAGGGACATGGACAGGGTAAGTAGAACATTTAGATCTGATAGCACTGAGGGTGCCGGTCAAGTTTAGGGACATGGACAGGTAAAGTAGAACATTTGGATCTAAAAGCACTGAGGCTTACTGATGCTGAGTTAGGCTGACTGAAGCGGACTGAGACTGACTGAGGTTTACTGAAGCTGACTGCAGCTGACCAGGGTTTTTTAAAGCTATAACTCCGGGTTCAGTGCCGCCCCCCCCCCCAGGGAAAGCCAAGTGCCCCCCCCGTAGTAAAAATATATCCAACAATAAATTAATAGAGGTTTACTGAAGCTGACTGCAGCTGACCAGGGTTTTTTAAAGCTATAACTCCGGGTTCAGTGCCGCCCCCCCCCCCCAGGGAAAGCCAAGTGCCCCCCCCGTAGTAAAAATATATCCAACAATAAATTAATTGGCACAGCTGGCACTGCCTCCCCCGAAAAATCTGAAGTCCCCCCACCCCCCAAAAAAAAATCTTAAGTGCTCCCCCGGGGGAAAATTTCTGAAAGAAACACTGCAGCTGACTGAGGCTGTTTGAAGCTGAATGAGGCTGACTGAAGCTGTTTGAAGCTGACTGAGGCTGACTGATGCTGACTGAGGTAGAATGAAGCTGACTAATGCTGACTGAGGCTGACTGAAGCGGACTGACGCTGAATGATTCTGACTGAAGCTGACTGATGCTGACTGAAGCTGACTGAAGCTGACTGAGGCTGACTGATGCAGAGAGAAAGGCTGAGTGATGCTGAGAGAGGCTGACTGGGGTTGATTGTCTGCTTAAGAGTCAATGAGGTGTTAAGTTTGTCACATCTAGTTTAAACTATAATTCCATAAATGTATTTCGAGAGATTATGTTAGTATCGTTTCAGTTTGTTAGCAACTGGCGTAGTAATCTCATTATGTTATCCCGTCCAATGAACGCTCAGAACACAGCACTTCACCATGCGTGTGTCAACGGACACCTGGGCACGATCAAAGTATTGCTGGACCACAAAGCTTCTGTCACCATGACCAATCAGGACGGCAAGAGTCCCTTGGCGGTGGCCGTGGAAATAGGGTTAACTGACGTGGCAGTCTTCATGATGGAACACACCAGGTAAGTTTATTAGGTCCTTATGATGGAACACACCAGGTAAGTTGATCAGGTTTCATGATGGAACACGCCAATTAGGTTTATCAGTTCTTCATGACGGAACACGCCAGGTAAGTTACTCAGTTCTTCATGACAGAACACGCCAGGTAAGTTACTCAGTTCTTCATGATGGAACACACCAGGTAAGTTGATCAGCTTCCTACGAACGTATCTATATAAAGAAACGGTATATCTTACGTGTATATCTAATTATTTTCACTGCTTCCATTTAAAGATAAAGACATTTAAAGAATAAGAAGTCACCTACACCAGATCTTCTCAAATTGCGCGTCCCAGGACCTGTATGGATCCAAACCTCCATTTTAGCGGTCCGAAGGTGGATCTCAAAATCGTTAAAAGATCCCCCAAAACACCCCAAAAACAAAACGCTATCCATATAAAAGCCCCCAAGTAACATGTGGATACATTTCGACGACGTGGTCAAAGTGATAAGCTTGAGACGCACTGGTTTACAACCTTGATAGTAGAGATTTCTTTAAAAAGATTGTTAACAGATTAATTGTCCAACACTTTTATGATGTTCCTATTTAGAATATCAAGACATAATAATTCAAAGTTAACAAACTGAAAGGTTTAGTTTACGGAAGTAAGCAAACAAAAAAGTGCTATATCGTTTTAAGTTATTCACTATACACGCTAGAAATTGTTGTAACATTAACTTTTTTAAATATTTCAGTTGGGAGGACAGCCTGTCGGTCAGAGACAACAAAGGTTACACCTGCATGGACCTGATGATTGCCAAAACACCTGCAGCTGTTAAGGTAAAGCTTTAAAAACCAAAACTGATTTAACATCTCATAGTTGGGATATAACATTAAGCATTACCCCAGTACAGAGAAGGAGATATACAAGTAAATATGTGGACAAAGCGCCCAGGAGCAGCTATTTAAGTACATAATGGAAAATTGATTTTTCAAATTTGGGTCGGGCTTTCTTATTAAAAAAATGTATTTCTTGACTCTACTAGATAGTGCTTGACAAATGCGTCTTACGGTCAGAGCATGCCACCAAATCACCAGACTACACAGTAAGTATTATTAACTGTTTGAAAGATGGATTGCACCTTGACCACAATGAAAGCGATAAATCTATAATAAAGTACACTTTTATAATCCTACAATCCTATGATCATTATTCAGGCAATACGAGTATTTTTTGCCAACTTTCCACGAATTTTGACTTCTTTAGCCTAGTGAGTTGTATCTCCATTTCTTTATCTTCGTTAGTTGTATCTACATTTGTTGAACCTCAAAGTCCTGAAATCTACTAAGACTTTGTGTGATTACTAACTATACAGACATAATTCTCAGCTTAGGGTCTATTTTCACTGGAGGGACACAATTTCGTAGCCAAGAGTCTGTGTCGATTTACTTTTTTTTCTCTATTTCTGTTTTAGATTGAATTCAACTACAAGTACATTGATCCAGGACCTAAGGACCCTATGTCAAGTCCATTGATTTATAACGCTCTATCAGTAAGTCATGTGTACGTCCTCCATGTCAACCCCACTGATTTAAAACGCTATATCAGTAATGCATGTGTACGTACCCATGTCAACCCCACTGATTTATAACGCTATACCAGTAGTTCATGTGTACGTTCCCATGTCAAGCCATTCATTTATAAAGTTATATCAGTAAGTCATGTGTACGTTCCCATGTCAAGCCACTGATTTATAACGCTATATCAGTAAGTCATGTGTACATTCCCATGTCAAGCCAATGATTTATAACGCTCTATCAGTAAGTCATGTGTACGTCCTCCATGTCAACCCCACTGATTTAAAACGCTATATCAGTAATGCATGTGTACGTACCCATGTCAAGTCCACTGATTTATAACGCTATACCAGTAATTCATGTGTACATTCCCATGTCAAGCCATTCATTTATAACGCTATATCAGTAAGTCATGTGTACATTCCCATGTCAAGCCACTGATTTATAACGCTTTATCAGTACGTCATGTGTATGCCCTTTCTGTGTGTTATAGCGTCAAACAAAGTTGCGTCCTGGCACCAACATTTCAGCCTCATGTTCTCCGCCTTGCTGTCTTATACTTTCAAAGATGAGACAATGGAATTGGCATCAGATACAAAACGGATAATAAAGTATTTAACCTCAGAAGACTTCATGCCAATTCAAGGTCTGGACATACATTATCTATAACTTTGTGTCTGCCGACGAGTGTGCTCTAAACGCTGCACCAGAGGCTGATAGGTCAACAACGTCAGGTAAAAGGCATATCGAATTTCTGCAGCACTGTCCTAAAATGAAGCGTTCAATGACAAGGTGAACCATCATAGCTTCAAAAACTTCAAAACAAATAGCTGGTTTTTGGAGTTCAATCCCCACAAAAGCCAACACCCCAAGCACCCCGGGTGGATAGGACTCGCTAAAGCCAACACCCCAAGCACCCCGGGTGGATAGTACTCGCTAGCCAATCCATCTAAGAGATGGCAAACTCTGAATTTTAAATCAGGAGCCAGAATGATCGACAAATTGATTGTTGGCCCCTCACATATAAGAAGAAGAAGATATTGCAAGAGTCAACAAACGCTTAAGAAAAATGTCTAAGAATTAATGGAAGAAGAGAGGCATCAGCATCGAAACAACATAAAAAGTTTACAAGGTGGCTGTGTTACCTGCGCTTCTCGTGGCCAGTCTATCAACACCAGGCTAGGAAGCTAAACCAGTTTCACAAGATGAGTCTCAGGAAATTCCTCAAAATTAAATGACGGGATGATTTCCCAGACAGAGAAGTACTCGCATAAGCTGGTCTCACAACAGACAGAGAAGTACTCGCATAAGCTGGTCTCACAACAGACAGAGAAGTACTCACATAAGCTGGTCTCACAACAGACAGAGAAGTATTCGCATAAGCTGGTCTCACAACAGAGAGAAGTACTCACATAAGCTGGTCTCACAACAGACAGAGAAGTACTCGCATAAGCTGGTCTCACAACAGACAGAGAAGTACTCGCATAAGCTGGTCCCACAACAGACAGAGAAGTACTCACATAAGCTGGTCTCACAACAGACAGAGAAGTACTCGCATAAGCTGGTCTCACAACAGACAGAGAAGTACTCGCATAAGCTGGTCTCACAACAGACAGAGAAGTACTCGCATAAGCTGGTCTCACAACAGACAGAGAAGTACTCGCATAAGCTGGTCTCACAACAGACAGAGAAGTACTCGCATAAGCTGGTCTCACAACAGACAGAGAAGTACTCGCATAAGCTGGTCTCACAACAGACAGAGAAGTACTCGCATAAGCTGGTCTCACAACAGACAGAGAAGGACTCGCACAAGCTGGTCTCACAACAGACAGAGAAGTACTCGCACAAGCTGGTCTCACAACAGACAGAGAAGTACTCGCACAAGCTGGTCTCTCAACAGACAGAGAAGTACTCGCATAAGCTGGTCTCACCAGTCCAGCATTTATATCAGGGACAGGAAATGTTGCGAGAATGTCACACGACCGAATGACCGAAAGAATATTTTTTTATTGTGAATTGAAGCATGACAGTCGGTTTGCTGGGTGTTATGTAGGACACTTTCCCCCTGCCGTTAACTTTGCTTGACCCCAAATTAGATTCCCAGCAGATGCTACGTTCATAGATGGGCGTGGCCTCTTTCCTTTTATCGTACCGCGTTTACTGCCGACACCAACTAAAATTAATTAATCTGTTCTCAATAGTATTTTGTGGAATTTTAGCGATTGTATCAGAAAAGTAAAGACGATTCTGGACGCTTCGGTAGACCCAAAATATAAATAAGGGTTTAAGAGATTCACAGAAATTCAGATAGATAGATTGATATATATTTTTAACTTCACAAGACGTGTATTATTCTTTGTGCACTCGTATGTGTTTATTCGCATTCATCATTCATCATTATTTATTGGCACATTGTACTAATTGTGTACCGGTACAAGATTTTCCCATTCTCTGCAAGTTGATGATTTGTAATCATATTTCTTTTGTTTTGTAATTGTATTGTTACTAAATTAAATCTTCTTAATTGTAATTGTTACTATTTTGGGTGTCGTAATTTTGTTATTGTATTTATCTATGGTATCGTCCTTTGTTAGGTACTGTTTAAAACGAGCCATAAATTTAAAATAGGAGATTAATTTCTCACAATAGAAGGAGGTGCGTAACACTGGGGAACTGAAGGAACATTTTAAACAATTTTACATTCACCCGGATGCCTGGAAATAGGCCTGTCGCGCTACTTCCTAGCCAGGGTCTCCATACAACTTGAAGCAAACACAACTGTTGACGTAGAGCACAAACAACAAGCCATACAAAACCCAAGTTAACTCTTTACATGGAGCTGTGCCATCCAACCCCAGCACCTTCTAAATAAGAACATTCTGTGCCAGAAAGTGCCTGGTCAGCCATCTGCGCACCCACGGAAATATTCAGTCCCAGCACCAATCCGATGTTTAAAATGGGCATGATCGATGTAGACGGACAAACAGATCATTTTTAGGACTGCTAAGGCTTGTTTAAAAAAAACACTTCAAATATAAAATCTTTATTTGAACTTTACCGTGTTACGTAAATATTGACTTTTATCTATTAAAGATAATGTTGACTTTTATCTACCACAGACAATGTTGACTCACGAAAGAGAAGATTTGCTGTGCCATCCCCTTTGCCAGAGTAATTTGGCCAACAAATGGTCAGTATATTAAATAGCAATAGTCAGTAACTTAAAGAAAGCTGACCAATAGTCAGTATCTTAAAGAACGCTGACCACTGGTCAGTATCTTAAATAAAAATGGCCAGTATCTTAAAGATAGCTGTCCAATGGTCAGTATCTTAAAGGAAGCTGACCAATGGTCAGTACCTTAAAGAAAGCTGTCCTGTGGACAGTATCTTTAAAAAATGATTGCAATTGCCAATATTTGAAACATCCAATGAGCACACACATCTAATCAAGCACAGACATCAAAAAGCAAACTTTAAAATTTAAATAACATCTCAACATCCAGCTAAAAAATAAGGAGGTACGATAAAGGACCATTTAAATGGGTTATATTTTACTAGTCAGTTTGATGTTATCAACGACCTTTTACAATAAAACAAAATATTCTATTATCTATATATCGTTATATTTTGTGTTATAATAATGTACATCACAGCTTATTTAGAGCAGACAATATTATTTTTATTGAAGTGTGTTTGAATTCTATTTGCACGCGGGAAGGAGGTGCCGAAAGGGTGCTTCTTTCGGGGCGAAAGTTTACCTAAGGCCTGCGACGTGCGAAATGTGTAGGCAATTCCTTTTTTTTCCATAGGACGTATCGAGCGAAATACAAATTTCAGACACAATTCATTGACCGCAATCTTGTAATATTGTATCTTGCAGGTTGAAAAAAAAAATCAAATTATAAAAGAACCATACAACAAACATCTTATACCTTCCTAAATTGACCTGAAATAAATTTAGACATTAACCACTAGTCTCGTCCATATATCCCCCAAGGTTTCAGCTACCTTGTGTCCTTTAAACACAAAAAAAATCTTAATATATTATATGTAATTACAATTTTATATTTTTTAATATAAATTATCTTTAATTTAAATTTGTAAATATATACTATTTATTTTTGTTTAGGTGATTTCTGTCACTAGGTATAACCCCTGATTTCTGTCACTAGGGATAACCCTTGATTTCTGTCACTAGGTATAACCCCTGATTTCTGTCACTAGGGATAACCCCTGATTTCTGTCACTAGGGCTAACCCCTGATCTCTGTCACTAGGGATAACCCCTGATTTCTGTCACTAGGGATAAGCCCTGATTGCTGTCACTAGGTATAACCCCTGATTTCTGTCACTAATCACACAGGAGGAACTACGGGCGTTTGATATTCTGTGTAGACTTTTGTCTCCAGTTTGGCGTGGCCTTGATGATAATGGTGTACATCTATGTGATGCCCAAACCCAACCAACCTAACTACGCATGTCGAGGCGAGGAGGGAAACGGACCTCTTTACTTGAATGACAGCTACAGTGCCGTAAGTGGTCACAGACAGGCATAGTTACTCTATGACCTCATAGCAGCAGCACCATAGTTTGAATAAACCTCCAGGGTACTTTGCCATAACGGTTTATGCACTATTAAAACTCAAGTCATTTAAGTTAACTCTAGCTACTACCAAAGTCATTTAAGTTAACTCTAGCTGCTACCAAAGTCATTTAAGTTAACTCTAGCTGCTACCAAAGTCATTTAAGTTAACTCTAACTGCTACCAAAGTCATTTAAGTTAACTCTAGCTGCTACCGAAGTCATTTAAGTTAACTCTAGCTACTACCAAAGTCATTTAAGTTAACTCTAGCTGCTACCAAAGTCATTTAAGTTAACTCTAGCTGCTACCAAAGTCATTTAAGTTAACTCTAGCTGCTACCAAAGTCATTTAAGTTAACTCTAGCTGCTACCAAAGTCATTTAAGTTAACTCTAGCTGCTACCAAAGTCATTTAAGTTAACTCTAGCTGCTACCAAAGTCATTTAAGTTAACTCTAGCTGCTACCAAAGTCATTTAAGTTAACTCTAGCTGCTACCAAAGTCATTTAAGTTAACTCTAGCTGCTACCAAAGTCATTTAAGTTAACTCTAGCTGCTACCAAAGTCATTTAAGTTAACTCTAGCTACTACCAAAGTCATTTAAGTTAACTCTAGCTGCTACCAAAGTCATTTAAGTTAACTCTAGCTGCTACCAAAGTCATTTAAGTTAACTCTAGCTACTACAAAAGTCATTTAAGTTAACTCTAGCTGCTACCAAAGTCATTTAAGTTAACTCTAGCTACTACCAAAGTCATTTAAGTTAACTCTAGCTGCTACCAAAGTTATTTAAGTTAACTCTAGCTACTACCAAAGTCATTTAAGTTAACTCTAGCTGCTACCAAAGTTATTTAATTCAACTCTTCAACTCTAGGTGCTACAAAAGTCATTTAAGTCAACTCTAGCTACTACCAAGGTCATTTAAGTCAATTCTAGCTACTTCTATTGTCCATCTCTCACTGATGACTTCTTCTAACCTTTCCCCAGAACTCTACTGTCGGCAGGCCAGCATTTCGTCACAGATACATGCACATCATCCAGTATGTGCTGTATGGTTTCGCTGCGACGCTCATTTGCAAGAGACTCATGCATGCCATCTCAGTGGTAAGAATACAACGTGGGAAAAGTATCTCTCTTTTTTTAAAGGTCTTAAAGTGTCTACAACTGTAACTGTAACAGGAGAGGTTCTCACTGTGAATCAACTCATCTGACTTTGGGGTCTCTTAACATTCATGTGAATTAATTTCTTGCCAAAGCCGAGTGTTGAAGAAGTAAATCTCTAACGTGATCCCAGTAAGGCAACCACAGAAAGGCAACTCCACTGAGACAGCCCCAATAAAAACAACCCTAATAAGGCTACCCCAGTAAGGCAACTCCAGTAAGGCAACCCCAGTAAGGCAACTCCAGTAAGGCAACCCCAGTAAGGAAACCTCAGCAAGACAACCGCAGTCAGGCAGCTCCAGTCGGACAACCCCAGTAAGACAATCCCAGTCAGGCAGCTCCAGTCGGACAACCCCAGTAAGACAACCCCAGTAAGACAACCGCAGTCAGGTATATATTCCTGGGGAAACGGAAAAAAGCCAAGCAAAAATTCTCGAACCTTTGAAGTGGGAAGACTGGGGTCTGGAGATACAAAAAGTGTTAAGGCTACGGTCGGAATAATCCGAAAACTATTTAAAATTTCTTGTAAGAGTAATAAACTAGAAGAAAGTCAGCTCCCTTCATGTCATTAACAAAATGTGTCTTCTAACAGCTTAGTTATTATTTTATCAATGCGTCTTCTGAAAGCTTGCTGATCATTCTATCAACGTGTCTTCTAACAGCTTAGTTATCATTGTTTCAGGGTTGGCGCTTTGCCTTCTCCCCACAACTACTGGCGACAGCGCTGTCAATGGTTCTCATCACATTCGGCACTATGCCCCCGGGATTCGAACCCTGTGACATGCAGTGGAGGACCATCGTCTACGCCGGCCTGATGTTTGTGATCATGGTTTCATTCATTCTAGAAAGGTTGGCAAAAACAATTTGATACCAGCAGGTAGTGAGACGTCACCAGACAATATAATATCAGCAGGTAGTGAGACGTCACCATCAGGTAGTGATACGTCACCATCAGGTAGTGAGACGTCACCATCAGGTAGTGAGTCGTCACCATCAGGTAGTGAGTCGTTACCATCAGGTAGTGAGACGTCACCAGACAATATAATATCAGCAGGTAGTGAGACGTCACCATCAGGTAGTGATACGTCACCATCAGGTAGTGATACGTCACCATCAGGTAGTGAGACGTCACCATCAGGTAGTGAGTCGTTACCATCAGGTAGTGAGACGTCACCAGACAATATAATATCAGCAGGTAGTGAGACGTCACCATCAGGTTGTGACACGTCTCCATGAGGTAGTGAAACGTGACCAGACAATTTAATATCAGCTAGTAGTGAGACATCACCCTAAGGTAGTGAGACGTCACAATCAGGTAGTGAGACTTCACCGGCAGGTAGTGAGACGTTACCAGACAATTTAATACCAGCAGGTATTGAGACGTCACCAGAAAGTATAATATCAGCTAGTAGTGAGACGTCACCATCAGGTAGTGAGACGTTACCATCAGGTAGTGAGACGTTACCATCAGGTAGTGAGACGTTACCATCAGGTAGTGAGACGTCACCATCAGGTAGTCAGACGTCACCATCAGGTAGTGAGACGTCACCATCAGGTAGTCAGACGTCACCGTCAGGTAGTGAGACGTCACCATCAGGTAGTCAGACGTCACCGTCAGGTAGTGAGACGTCACCATCAGGTAGTCAGACGTCACCGTCAGGTAGTGAGACGTCACCATCAGGTAGTGAGACGTTACCCTCAGGTAGTGAGACGTCACCATCAGGTAGTGAGACGTCACCATCAGGTAGTCAGACGTCACCGTCAGGTTTATAAGACGTCACCAGTAGGTAGTGTGACGTTATCAGAAAGTTCGCTTTCTTGCTTATGCTTACGGTAGAATCAAAAGATGTCATTGTCCTGATCAATACAGAAATACTTGAAAAATATCATGTTTTTTTGAAATTTTCTTTTTATTGTCAGTACTTTGTAATGTAAAGTTATTGCTGAAAATTTTTGTTTTTCAGATTCGAGGGTATTGGATTATATTTCACAATGTTTTTTGAGGTGTTCAGGACTATGATCAAGGTAAACTAATTCATTAATCTCACCTTAAGACACTATCATGGTAACCCGATTCATTTATCTTACCTTAAGGCTATTTCTAGGTAGCTCAATTCATTCATAAGCTTTAAGATTTAATCAAGGTGACCCAATTCCTTCAGCTTAGTAAAAGCCCTATGTAAATTTTTACTGGTTCGCACAAATTGGCTTCACTTAACATTCGCCAGTGTTAACATATGAATCATTATGAATCATACAACCTTGACTATTTCCATAAACTCTTAAAAAGATTTTTAAAATAACGCCTGATTTATTGTAAAATGATTTTGGATATAGATAAAGTTATGTTGTAACAAATCCACATAACAGCACAGGACGACCTACACTATATGCATATGCACTGACATATACATTATATGACACATAACACGGCTTACACTAAATGACACTGAACACGACACTCTATGGGTGTTTATTTGCAGATATCGTTCCTAATGGTGTTCTTCTTGCTGGCTATGGATGTCCCTTGGCTGGTGATGCTCAACTCGGTAAATTAATTTTAATGTCTGCATTTTAGACACGTTTAATGAAGACAACGTCAATGCATTTTGGTTGTTGCAATCCTGATATAATGGTTATATATTATAGTTATGAAATTTGCTATGTACATTTTAAAAGGAAACATTTCAAATTCAATATGAACACTGAGACTCTAAGGGATGCCAACAAAGTTAACTTTTACTCTTTCATTTTCAACTGTTGTTTACAATTTTATATTACAGACGAGAGTCAAATAATTATATCAAATTAACAAAATTTAAGCGAACCTCACACAAACTGTTATATCAGATTACCAACAAATCAGCCAACCTCATTCAAACTGTTACATCAGACCCCCAACAGATCAGCTCACCTCAATGAAACCGTTACATCAGACTCCCAACAGATCAGCTCACCTCAATGAAACCGTTACATCAGACTCCCAACAGATCAGCTCACCTCAATGAAGCCGTTACATCAGACTCCCAACAGATCAGCTCACCTCCAACTGGTTAAGGCTTAATGATGATCCAAACGCTAATGTCTTAACTAAACATTCCTCAACTTCAGGAGAACATATGATAGAAATAAAATAAAAGAAAATCTAAAATATAAGACTACTGTTAGGGACTTGAGTGTATAGTGTGATTGCGTGTTGGTTTGAGATTATATGTGTTTTATCTGTTATTCTTAGTATCTTGTGACGTATTGTGTGGAAAGGGATATGACGTATTATTATTGTAGATTTGGGTGTGGAGTGTTGTTCTTTGATTACTGTTACGGCAGTTGAAGAATTTGTTGATTAATAAAGATATTTCATCTAAGAATTATAGTTGTGAAGTGTATATAATTAAACCCCCCCTAGACAACGAAGCCAACGAACCTATTAAGTAAGAATAGGTTTGTAACAACTACATTATTAGCTATCTGTACTCGAAGACCTAGAATGTACCGCAATGGACAATTTGAATGTCGTCTAGACTTTTTGGATCTATATTACGAGCGTGTTATGTATTGTACTGATAGATGGGCAGATGGTAAGCTGACCTAAGTGACATCTATAATAGCAACAGAAAAATGAGCTTTAAATAATGTTTTAAAATCTCTTGTAATTTATTGGTTTGAACTGACATATTGAAGAAAAAAATAAGATTTTTACCGACAACACACCTCTTTCCGACTTCTGTTTAATCTCGCCCTTCACCTAACATAGGTTTATATTATTATCATTACTATAAGGGGTTTTATATAGCGCGGTACCTCAGCCTAGGGCTGGGCTGACCACGCTGTACATACAAAACTAACATACATAATCATGAAATTAAAAATTAACATACATTAATTAATTAATTATGAGAATGTCACTACTTTATTGCCATCGCATAGAATAATGGGAGTAGGCCTAATTGTTGAAATCATACTCATTTTAAAAAAAGATGTAGTCCATATTGTAAGATAACTTAAGATTGGCTCAAAGCCAACAGAGAAATAAAACCCATGCATTTTGCTCTACAGAATCTAAGTCTGCAAAATGGAGAAGGGCCATGGGATCTGTGTAATGGCATTTTATCATTTTAAGTTTTGTTATTTTCATTGTTACTGTCATCACCATTTTGTTGCCTTCATCGTTTTGTTATCCCTCTGGTTTTATTATCAGAGTGTGCTTTTTTTAAAAAAAAAATCATTGTCATTGTCTTTTGTAGTTGTATGAATTTATCGATTCCGTCTGAATGTTATTCACAGGATGGATTCCAGGAAAATGAGAAATCCTTATTATCCACACTGGCCATGACTATTGGAGAGCTCAACTTCCGGGATAATTTCATCAAAGTCGACAACTCTCCCTACACATTAGACATGTTCTTTCTGTTTCCCTTGTTTATCCTTCTCATGAACTTGTCACTCATGAACTTGATGGTAAGCAAAGAACGCCGGCCATATTCCCATAGTTAAAAAAAACCAACAACAACAATTGTTTAATGGAATTAAGCTACTTTTATGGTAAAATGGACAGCTTTATAACAAATTTGTTAAAGGACTTGAAATAACTAATGAATTATAACTAAAGAAAGTGAACTGTTCTCCTTGCTTTAAACATTCACTGTACTTGGAAAGAATAATTTAATGAAATTTATATTAAAAAAAAACAACAAATAAAAGAAAAATAGCATATCAACAAATACTTTATCATGAAATCAAATAAAAAGAGAGACGTATTTTCAGATTGGTTTAGCAGTGGGTGACATCAATAAAGTACAGAAGAAGGCTTACTTGACAAGACTGCGAAAACAGGTGATGGTTGTCTGGTGTTCAAAGTTACATTATGACAATTTTTGTGTGATCAATGTCACATTATGACGGTTGTCTGGTGCTAAATGTCACATTACTATAGTTGTCTGGTGTTCAATGTTACATACGATATTTGTCTGTTGCTAAATGTCACATTACGATAGTTTTCTGGTGTTCAATGTCACATTATGACAGCTGTCTGGTTCTCAATGTCACGTTCAAGTTTATTGTGGCTAATGTATGCTCTTTTATTACATATATTGCATACATGCAAAAAATACATGTATTATTTTATGATTTAATCCTGTGTCTATTATAGTTGTTTTTAAACACAATCTGCTTCATTTAAACACATTCTGCTTCATTGAAACACAATCTGCTTCATTTAAAGGTAATCTACTTCATCGAAACACAATCTGTTTCATTTAAACACATTGTGCTTGATTGAAACACAATCTGCTTCATTTAAACACATTATACTTCATTGAAACACAATCTACGTCATTTAAACACATTCTGCTTCATTAAAACACAATCTGCTTCATTTAAACACATTCCGCTTCATTAAAACGCAATTTGCTTCATTTATACACATTCTGCTTAATTGAAACACAATCTGCTTCATTTAAAGGTAATCTACTTCATCGAAACACAATCTGCTTCATTTAAACACATTCTGTTTCATTGAAACACAATCTGCTTCATTTTATCACATTCTGCTTCATTGAAACTAAGTGAAGCAGATTGTGTTTTAATGAAGCAGAATGTGTTTAAATGACGTAGATTGTGTTTTAATGAAGCAGAATGTGTTTAAATGACGTAGATTGTAACACATTCTGCTTCATTGAAACACAATCTGCTTCATTTAAACACATTCTGCTTCACTAAAACACAATCTACGTCATTTAAACACATTCTGCTTCATTAAAACACAATCTGCTTCATTTAAACACATTCTGCTTCATTGAAACACAATCTGCTTCATTGAAACACAATCTGCTTCATTTAAAGGTATCTACTTCATCGAAACACAATCGCCTTCATTTAAACACATTGTGCTTGATTGAAACACAATGTGCTTCATTTAAACAAATTCTGCTTCATTGAAAAACAATCTGCTTCATTTAAACACATTCTGCTTCATTGAAACACAATCTGCTTCATTTAAACACATTCTGCTTCATTGAAACACAATCTACGTCATTTAAACACATTCTGCTTCATTAAAACACAATCTGCTTAATTTAAACACATTCTGCTTCATTGAAACACATTCTGCTTCATTAAAACACAATCTGCTTCATTAAAACACAATCTACTTCATTAAAACTCATTCTGCTTCATTGAAACACAATCTGCTTCATTAAAAAACAATCTGCTTCATTAAAACACAATCAGCTTCGTTTAAAGGTAATCTACTTCATCGAAACACAATCTGCTTCATTTAAACACATTCTGCTTGATTGAAACACAATCTGCTTCATTTAAACACATTCTGCTTCATTGAAACGCAATCTACGTCATTTAAACACATTCTGCTTCATTAAAACAAAATTGACTTCATTAAAAAACATTCCCCTTCATTAAAACACAATCTGCTACATTAAAACACAATCTGCTTCATTTAAAGGTAATCTACTTCATCGAAACACAATCTGCTTCATTTAAACACATTGTGCTTGATTGAAACACAATCTGCTTCATTTAAACACATTCTGCTTCATTGAAACATAATCTTCGTCATTTAAACACATTCTGCTTCATTAAAACACAATCTGCTTCATTTAAACACATTCTGCTTCATTGAAACACAATCTGCTTCATTTAAATACATTATGCTTCATTAAAACACAATCTGCTTCATTAAAACACAATATGCTTCATCAAAACACAATCTGCTTCATTTAAACACATTCTGCTTCATTGAAACACAATCTGCTTCATTTAAATACATTATGCTTTATTAAAACACAATCTGCTTCATTAAAACACAATATGCTTCATTAAAACACAATCAGCTTCATTTAAACACATTGTGCTTGATTGAAACACAATCCGCTTCATTTAAACACATTCTGCTTCATTGAAACACAATCTGCTTCATTTAAACACATTCTGCTTCATTGAAACACAATCTACGTCATTTAAACACATTATGCTTCATTAAAACACAATCTGCTTCATTTAAACACATTCTGCTTCATTGAAATACAATCTACGTCATTTAAACACATTTTGCTTCATTAAAACACAATCTGCTTCATTTCAACACATTCTGCTTCATTGAGACACAATCTGCTTCATTTAAACACATTCTGCTTCATTGAAACACAATCTGCTTCATTAAAAAACAATCTGCTTCATTAAAACACAATCAGCTTCATTTAAAGGTAATCTACTTCATCGAAACACAATCTGCTTCATTTAAACACATTGTGCTTGATTGAAACACAATCTGCTTCATTTAAACACATTCTGCTTCATTGAAACGCAATCTACGTCATTTAAACTCATTCTGCTTCATTAAAACAAAGTTGACTTCATTAAAAAACATTCCCCTTCATTGAAACACAATCTGCTTCATTAAAACACAATCTACTTCATTAAAACACAATCTGCTACATTAAAACACAATCTGCTTCATTTAAAGGTAATCTACTTCATCGAAACACAATCTGCTTAATT